TGTGTCAGATTTGTTGGGGCAGCTGTTACAGGTAGCAGGGCAAATTATTGGGGCAACTGTGTATTTTTAGAAGATTCCATGAAGCTGCAGGAATATGGAAGAATAGTGTAGAATAATATAGAATACTCTAGAATAGGCCAAAGTAGACCAAAGGATGGGGCTTCCAAAAGCTATATAAGGACCCCTAATCCACCCCCAAAATACAAGCAACTTTGAGAGCAAGAGTCTCGTCTGTGTGTGCCCAGGTAGAAAGTGCAATCAGGCGCTTTCTTCAGTATAAGGTAGTAAGGCTTGGCAAATAGGTGCCAGCTTATACCTTAGGTTTGTTTTCTGTTATTCAAGGTGTTGCAGGTAGACAATCAGGTCTATCTTTTGAAGTAACATCTTCTGTGTTAGTGCTTACTCTTGTACCACCCGTCTTTGTTTAGGTGTTAACAACTCAGTGCTGCCTTTTAGATATCTCTCCTGTGCTAGCAGTCTTATACAAGTGAGACGGCTACCCCTTACGCGAATACGTGTCTTCCCTTATTCCCTGCCTACACAACTTATTCTAGTGGTCTTCCCCTCCTCAACGAACACCCGAGGCAGAAGTTGATCTTACGTCTGATCCACCTAACTCGGATAAAAGTGCGGTTGTTTTTAAGTGGCTAGTTCCACGCTCATTCAAGTGCGTCTCGCCTACCGTTTTTCCCCGCCCTTTTACACCACGATATCTGGAGCCCACCGCGAGGGGGAGTTCTAGATCAGTTGTGTATGTCCCAAGGTGATTCACATTCGCCTCGATCTTTGTCGTCTCCACCGTCGTCAGTGTCCTCAGTGTCGGACATTCCCCCAAGTGTCACTTCATTTGCAAGTACACCTTCAAGTTCTAGTCAGCCACCAGCAAGTCAGTCAAGAAGTCTTATCCCATACAATTCCCTTATGCCTTCAGGTCCCCAGCAGGCGCCAGCGCCAGGGAACAATCCTAGTGCTAACCACCCTCCTGCACCTACACCAGCTGCAAGCAACCCTGTTACTCAGAGTACGAATACCTCTACTACTGTTGTGGGAGGAGGAGTAGTAGCTCTTCCTCTTCCTGGACAGAGAGGAGCACCCAGAAAGTTTAAAGGCAAGCACTCGGATGTGCTCCCTTTCCTACGTTTTTATGGATTACTCTGCGACAAGCACAATGTCACTTCAGACAGAGACAAAGTGGAGAGTATTTTGCATTACTGCTCTCGCAGTGTGCGCAAGTTTATGGAAGGTCTTAGAAGTTATCAGCGCAGAGACTGGAATGACTTTGTCTCTGATGTCAAGAGATTCTATGAAGCAGACAAGGACCAGGAACGATTCATGGTACGTGACCTGGAAAAGTTAGCTCGGCATAGTCGTGTCAAGTCCATCAAGACCATGGCAGCCTGGGTGAAGTACTGTCGTGACTTCATCAGGATTGCAGGATGGTTGAAGCAGAAAGGGCGACTTTCAGACTACGACCACGACTACTACTTCTGGGTAGGCATTCCTGATATGTTCAGAAACAGTGTAGAGTCCCGCCTACTAGCCCAGAACCCTCAACATGATCTTGCCAACCCCTTCAAGGTTGATGATGTGTGTAAAGTAGCAGAAGCGCTACTGCATCGCCATCGCTTTGATAGAGATCGCCTGTTGTCAGAACCTGAGTCTGAGAACTCAGCCTCTGAGACAACTACGGATAGTTCAGACTCAGAAGATGAGGATGACTGGTCAGATGAAGACTACGTAAGGCGAAAGAAGTCAAAGAAGGCAAAGGCCAGAGATTCATCAAGAGAGAGAGAAAGGGAAAGGAAGAAGAAAAGCTCGAAGAAGATTAAGCGAAAGGTCTCATTCAGGCTGCCAGATGAAGGAGCTGATGCAGAAAGCGACTCTGATACACCTCCGGCCTCACGCACGCGACGAGTGCCTACCCCAGTCCCAACTCCTGGAACTCAGACTCCCAGGGATGATCCTGATGTAGAAGACCTGATCAAGCAGCTGGAGAAGATGCAGATCGACGATCCAGCCTATGCTGTAATCTACTTCAGGGCCTGTAACAGGAACCCCTTAGTCAGGACCTGTGTTGCAGCCCCGGTCGATCGGCGGCGAGTGCCTACACCTCCACCCAATCGGAGTTTTGAGCGAGAGACACCACCACATCTCAGTGGTGATGCTTTCCCACCTCGTGGACCTTGCTGGGGATGTGGCAGTACAGGGCACAACTTGTCACGATGCCAGCAGCTGCAGGACTACATCAATCAGGGTGTAGTTAAAAAGGATGAGCGGAATCGCTTTGTACTGAGCAATGGAACAACACTGTTCAGGAACCAGGATGAGACATGGATTGCAGCTATCAAACGGGCCACAGCTCCTCAGACCAATCTCATCACGATTCCGCCTACTCCCAGTACCTCAGCTAGCTCAGCCACTGCCTACCAAGGACAGCTAGTTGGACTGCAGGATGAAAGCTCTGACTCTGATGAGGACTGGCTGGAGATTTACCCAGCTACGCGAAATCAGAAAGAGAACCAGGAGAATCGCCGGGAGCGCTTTGATGGAGTCTGGTTACCTACTAGAAAGGAGTTAGAGGAGCGGCGCAAGAAGCAAAACCTTCCTCCTCTAAAGCCTGAGCCTCCCCGGGATGCTACAAATCGGCCTCCTAGGCAAGACAATGCTAAAGCTCTGGCCCCAGTTCCTGTGGCTCCTAGGCCAGTACCTATAGAGGTTAAGCCAGCTGCATTTGATCCTGCAGATGATGATGCCATAATGGAAGATGCGACAGTGCCTCCAGCTGATCAGCGAAGGAAGAAGCAAACAGGCCGTCCTATGGAGCATGCAGGAAATGAGGAGCCTGCTCAGAAGAGGCCTAGAAGATCAGAAATCCAGGAGCATGTCAATCCCAAGACTATGCTGGACCGAGTTCTCAATGCGCCTATTACTGTAGCAGTTGGTGAACTGCTGGCAGTATCCAGAGAAATGACTCAGCAAGTACAGGAGGTCATTCGCCCAAAGAATGTGGCTACACGAGCAGTAGGAAAGGAAGATACGACTCGAGCAATTGCGCGCTACATCGATACAGACCATGAGGAGTTTGCAGCAGCATGCATGGCTGCAACAGCTTTTCCCTGTCGTCAGAAAGGCCAGCTAATACGCCTTCGCCTGGAATGTGATGGAATACCTATAACAGCTATAGTGGACACAGGTTCCCAGCTGAATATAGCACACAGGAAAGTGTGGCAAGGTGCAGTTGGGCGGCCCATGGATGTAACACGCAAGATTGTAATGGGAGACGCAAATGGCGGAGAGGGCATTCTACAAGGATTTGTGCCTGAAGTCCCACTCACCTGTGGAAGTGTCGTCACGCATGCAAGTCTCTTCATCGGGCACAAAGCGCCGTTTGACCTATTGCTAGGACGTCCCTGGCAGCGCGGAAACTTTGTAAGTATTGATGAGCGCATTGACGGTACCTACTTGCTCTTCAAGGACAACACTCTTACAGTGCGATATGAGATGCTGGTAGCACCCGAGCATGATGTAGACCCAAGCATTCAGGAATATCTGAATCGGACTCATCATCTCGTTGCAACTATCACATCTGCAGCAAAAGCAAGTCCCAGTCAGGAACTGTCATACCATGCACCTGAAGATGTGCAAACTGAAGTAGCGTGCATGATAGGCACCCTCCAACCAGCTCAGTGGGACACTCAGGAAGATACGAGCAGGTTTGAAGAAGAACCAGAGACAGACGTGGAAGGAACCATTGCAGGAGAAGATAAGAATAAGACTTTGGGCACTAGTTACAGCATGGGAGAACAACTGGCGGCAGAAGCTCTGCTTGAGCTAGCAAGCTCAAGCGACCCCCGGACATCTGTGTCTGGCCCTTCCTCTCTAATGTGCACCATGCGCCCAGGAGATATGGACGTCGCAACACTATGTAATGAGGCTGAGAGGTCTGGCATCAATCAGCCATGTCCTATCCTGGTAAACGAAGACACCCACGTACCCGAGGATGGACCACCACCACGGAGCTGGTGGGAGAAAGCCCGTCATGCATGCCAGCAAGCAATTTGGGGCCAGTCAGTCAAGCCAGTGAGCGAGATGCATGAACGAGCCGTGACCTTGGAACAAGAAGCAAGGCAGCAGGAACGAGAGTCGCGTTTATCATCTATGAGATGCGCGGCAGCTCTGATGGCGACAGAGATTCCATTGGGTCTCGTTGACCTCCTGTGCGGTCCGCAATACGCCATGCTTCCGCAACGACCTAAGGCAAAGGACCCGAGAACGCCCGAAGTGCCTGACTGTATGTGTGACGCGAATGACCGGTCGCACAAAGGTGCATCTGGGCCAGGGACTGGCAAGAAGGAAGAAGCGGTCAGTAGAGAAAGCACGATGAAGGACTACGAGGACGTACCTGAGCCGCAGGAATGCGTGTTCAGTGTGCGCATCCAGGAAGACCAGGAGCAGTTGGAAGACGAAGGCGAAGGCAGCAGGCAGGGCCTGCGCACAGGATACCTACGATGGGAGCGTGACAGTGAGAACGAGGCGGACAGGTGGTCGGGAGACACTCACTGTGAGAGCGCATCGGATGCAGACTTGGCCGACCAGCTCGCCCGGGTGCAGTTGAGTGGCGACGGCGGGGCAGAGGACTTCGAGATGGCAGATGTAGAGAGGGAGGACTTGAGAGCCATGCGCGCCGCAGGCGATGACGAGGCGAACAGTCGGACCCGCTGCGAAGAGTCAGCCGGGGACACTGCGGCAGAGGTACCAAACAGCGAAACCGGCACAACTGTGAGCGGTAGCGCAAGGGTATCTGTGGAACCTAGTCAACAACTGAGTCGCAGCACTACGAATGACTTACCTACGACGCAGCGCGCGACCGAGTCACTCCCGCTTGAGCGGGTACTCGAGTTTGTACGATGGCAGCGGGACCGACGCTTGCGGGAAGCCGAAGAAGATCGGCAGCGAGACTTGCGGCGGCTGCGGCGGAGTCACGAACGGTGCCTACAACAGATTAGGGAATGTGAAAGACGAGGAGACTACGAACCGGTAAGCACCTGGTTTTCAGCACAGGACGACCGCCGGCGTGCCGAGATCGTTTTCGAAAATAGCTGGGGCGATCTTGATCGCGCCCATGCTATACGGAGGGGCGAAATTGTGCGACAGGCTGCGCGAGAGGAGTGTGAGTACAGAGTCCGACATGTCAGAACTGCTGCGGACGTACCTGGCCCGAGGGTCACAAGGACCGACGCAGAGATGGGCGGTGAGCCCGCACAGGTCCTATTCGTGTCAGAGATGATGGGCGGTGACTGCGGGAGTGATCAGGACGTTAGAAGACATCGAACATACCGAGACGGCCGCCCCATCAGTGTCTGGGGACCCCGGATACCCAAGACCGTGCGCGCCGCTTCCCAGGTGGGACGGCCAGACCCGACGACTAGCGTACCAGCCGTACGGCGCGCACTAAAGGGTCAGGAAGTGTCGGGAGAAGTTATCAGTCGTCGCTGCTGTAACAGGGACAAAGAACCTTACCTACAAGAGGCCGTCGTTGCCGACGGCGGGAGGCTGTGTGTCACAGAAGTGCGCTCGGTTGCGCGAAATCGATCGGGCTGTGACAAAAGAAACGGGGGTGAGCCCAGAGACCAGTTAGGAGAAAGGGGGGACTCACCTGAGAGGTATGACTCGAAGGCTGGAAGCTTCACGACGAAGTTCGGAGGTTCTGGAAGCAGTAGACTCAGCGATAAAAGACCAGGAAGAACGGGAGATGACTCACCAATCCTGCACGGACTGGGTACATTTCCTGCGGACTCTTGCTCCACTTACCTTGCTATGACTACGCCTAACAACGACGCTCGTGTTGTGACTGATCACAACACACTGCGTTATGGCTTGAAGATCCCAGCCGACGTCTGCCAGCGCATCATCGGCAAACTGGTTGAGACCGTCGAGCTAGACTCGGTGTGCCACCAGTTAACCGCCGCAATCGATAGAATGAAGAAACAGAACTTACTCGTCACCCAAGTCTTCGACCGTGGCGTGTTGGCGTTCTTCCCAAAGCGTCGCGACCTCCGCCAGCTCGACGCGTCGTTTTACCGAGACCCCTGGAACCGTCCACCGCCCATCACGTACGAGGCCGACCCTGCGGTCGGTATTTGGCTTCCGTACAACAAAGAGGAGGAGAAGTTAGTTTTTGAAATGAAGTATGTCGTATGGCTACTCACCGGATGCGTCCCCCATCGTGCGTATGTGGCCAGCGAGGGCTGGCAGCCTGTGCAGCCGGCCGGCCAGCGTGCTGTGTGCCTTCTGCTCGAAGAAGACCACCTGCTAGGTACGCACATGTCAGCCGCCGAAGCTAATTTGGTACTCACCGTGCGAAACGCGGTTGTAGGCGAAGAAGACCGCGCCGCCCTCATGATCATCATGGAGGATGTCACGGAGGCAGAGACGTCGGACACGGAGAGCGAGTTTGGGACCGACGGAGAAGCGGAGGCGGACGCAGACGGCGACACAGACGACGGGGAGTATCTGGGGGACGAGAGGATGTTTGCAGAAGCGCGCGAGGCCGAGAGAGAGTCGGACGATGAAGACTTCGAGGAACTTGAGGGGAGCGAGGGAGGAGACGCCGAATCAGACGAGTCGATGCCGAGCCTGCGAACGAACGTCAGTAATGAGTCGAGCGGCGAGGAAATGGACATAAGCGACAGCGAGGAGAGCTGGGGAATGAGTGAAGACGAGGAAGAGGCCGAGGACCGGGCCTTTGGGGAACTTCAGCGCGAGCTCGAGCGTGAGCGCCTAGCTGCGCACTTGTTCGGTAATTGCCCGGCGCTGGACGACCTCATATCAGACCCGGACGACGACGCGCCGCCCTGCTCTCCTTCTCCTCCTCCGCCATCTCCACGCCCGACCGCCGCGCCCTTCGACGGCACCAACGACCGCGCCATCTGGCCAGACGAAGCCGCCGGCTTTGCCTGCCAGGATGCCTGGCGCCCCCGGCCTTTGCTCCCTCACGCGGTGACACGCGTCGATGACGACGCTCCCGTTCGACTTGCGCGGTACGTCTGCCCGCCCCTCGCCACCGCTCTTGCTACCCACCGCGTTCCACTGCAGCCGGCACCGCCGCAGGAGCCGCATCCCTTGCCGCTCCCGGTGCCGGTGTTCAGCGTCACCATCCCTGAACAACCTGCGCCGCCGCCGTATTCCGGAACTCAGCAGGTGCGCGGGCAAGCTACTTACCGGTTTGGTACCACTGTGCTCGTCGAGCACGAAGAGGAGACCGCCCAAGAGCCCGAGGAAGGAGAGTACGAAGAGGCTGAGGCCCTGGTACGTGAACGCATCGCCGAGCTCGTCCGAGTCCTGACGCGAGCCTACGAAATGAACGCGCAGGCCTACGAACCGACGGCCCTCGTCACTAACGACGAGGTGGATGCCCCTGCCACTCCTCCCACACCCGAACTCGCTGCCGACACCTCCATGGACAACACTACGGTGAGCAGCATTGAGACTATCCCACCTTATACCGGACCACTTGCGCTCGCGGCTGCCCGCGAGATCGTCGTCGGACGCGCTATCCCTGTTGCTGACACCACTGAGCGCCGCTACACTCTCCCCTACCTTGAGCCGACTCCCCCGTGGCGCAACGACACCGACAACGACGTGCTCGACGACGTCCGTGAGTACCGCCGCCGAGTTCTGACGTTGCAGCCCGACCGAGGCCCGTCTCTTAACGTGCCGAACCCAGGGCAAGCGTCGCGTCGCTACGACCGCGACAGCACAACCGGACCGTTCGACTTGGCGGCCCTTGTGAGTATCCGCCGCGCCCTTCTTCGCATCCTAGACACCCAGTACACCTCCGCAGTCACCGCCGGGCTTCCCAACCTGTTGGACGACTTGCGCTGTGGACGATTCGGCTGGGACAAAAAGGTCATGGAGGTCGTCTTTCCTTACAGCGAACACTACGGCAATGTGTTTCTATTCGCCGAAGAGCAGCTCCTCCTACGGCAGTGCAAGTATCTCTGGACGCAGAACAACCTCCGCGGACGCTATGACGAGCGCATCCAGGCGTGCCAGCGGGCCTTGGACTTTCGCACCACCCGATACGACGACCGAGCGATCCGGACGTTTCGGCTCACGGGACGACTCGGGAAGCTCGGACTCGCTCGGGAGCTTGTCACGTACCCCTCTACTGTGGCCCCCCGTGACTAACAAGGTACGCACGACGCGAGATGTGCGCACACACGGTACTAACGCGGTTATACGGGACTTAGGCGATACGGACGATGCGCTGCCCGGCAACACGGGAGCGCGACTTTGTACTTTTAATTTTTGCTTCGGTGATGTGTTTGTTTGCGACCGTTTTATTCTTGACCATCTATCTGTACTTGTAGGTCCAGCGAGGGGAATTGTCCAAGCCAACCGAGCACGCAGCGGGTGCGCCCGAGCCAGTGGCGCAGGCCATGCTTCTCGGAGGCTGTTAGCAAGCACGGAAGCCACGTCAGGTCCCATAGCGAGCAGGCTCGCTAGGACGGGTACGAGATGTGGCCCCCGTGACATGCCCTCATTGGACGCGTTGTGGTTTTCAGTTTCATCTATGGCCTCTGTATGTAACATTAGCAGACATGATTGGTGGTGTATGATAGGGCGACCCCTGGGTAGTATTAGCACAAGTAAGCTTACAGGATTTGACACTACGCTAGGGACTTATAGCCGAGACTGGGCAACTATAGTAGCTACAGAATTGGTACCACACAGTTCCCACCTCACACGCACAGACTACTTGCTTGAGTCAGAGACGCAGCCGGCTAAGCTACCTAATCTGGTAAGAGCTGTGGACAATGAATTCTCGAGAGCCTCTGATGCCGGGCTGAGGTGTGCGAGAGCGGCTGTGCTAGGCTTAGGGTGTGAGCCAAAAGATGAGGACTTAGAAATAAGTGCCTGTGGCTTGCTAATGAGTAGTGAGGGAGAAGAAATAGGGGAGCAGGAGCAGGAAGAGTATGAAGAAGACATGATAGAAGATCCAGGGTTGAACAAGTAGA